AAAAAAAAAAAAAAAAAAAGGGAAAAACATATTAAGACAAATAAATAAAAAATTTAAGAAGATCTAGAACAAAAAAAATGAGGAAGGCAAAGCATAGCCACTGAAATCATTCGCCACATCTTAGCTTCCAACTTATGCGCGAAATAACCTCTCATCCCCTCGACAATGTAGCACAAGATAAACAACGAAGAGCAACTTCCGGAGGGAAGGAAATAACCGAGTCATCTGCACTCGAGACATTTCTCCTATCAGAAAGTGATGGCCGTGACTAAATCAGCCACAGGATGTCTAATCCAGAATCGAACCATGGCTAAAAGCTGGAGAGCATCTTTCTGGATGGTTAGCATAAACGTGGGATCCTTGACTACTTTAATCCTACTCCGTACTCTGTACTGGATCGCATCCAACTTAGTGAGGGGTTGTTAATCAACAGGGATGCATTGGACAGGAGACCTGTTCTTTTTTCTTTGTAGACGAAACTTGAACCCTCGATCAGGGAGGAGTAATCTTAACTTTGTAACAGAGGTCTTTCCGGAGGGAATAATTCACATGTACCCTCGTAGAGGATCCTGTGCCTGCCCACGAAATGGATCGTACTGAGCTGGAAGAAGGAAACTAAAGAGGGGTGTTGTCCCAAGCGCTTAGTCACAGCGTATGGTAACTGATACCATGGGATGGGAGTACCCAGTACAGTTACATGGGGCGCCACTTGGCGCTTTGGCGCGTTAACCCTGAATATTTCCGATGTTCACAAGACCATTAGTGAAATGGGGCCAGTGGAGTCGATCTTTAGCCGCCGACTGGGTGCGCATCTTGATAAGATCCAAAATGTCCTTGGTACTAGTTCCAACCAACATCGATACGGTGACAGTATTGATACCAACCACGGCGATGATCGTACGTACGAAACTCACCATCATACTATGTACTAGTAGTCCCACGAGGCATGAGAAAACGAACATTCCCCACCCCCACATCAGGCTATGTATTCGATAACGTAAGCCAGTCAGGTACGGCGATCATCCGGATCAGCAGCACTGTCCAACACGACGGCTTCAAATCAGACTCGGTCACCAGGCATGGGTGGTAGTGGTCGGTCGGTGAGTGGAAGACAGATCAATTGTGCATCGGAACAACAACCCGTTGCTTCATCTCCTGCACTGTTCTAAGCCTGAAGAATGGATGGCCAATGATTCCTCGAAATGAAAGCTACAATCTCGCCGGTTTACTTTGGATAAAGTTTCAGCATCGTTCTTATGTTAGGTATTTCCATCGGAGAGCTTGGGGGATCTACACCGTCTGAAGGTCCAGAAAATCTGAAGACATCATTGGATACGCTGATTCGGGGAAATGAAGCAGAAACGAGCCTAATGTCGGGGCAATCATTGCATGAAGAGCGGTTGAGCTGGTTGGACGCTCTGTGTAACAGGCTCCATGTGCAGATGACTGCAGCCAGGGACCCAATTACGCATTTCGAGAAGGATCTCTTTCGCAAGGCTTCGGCGGCCTGTGTCACAGTCATTGACCAGGAAGTAAAGGCTGTCTGACAGCTATCGCTATCGAACAGTCAGATTGGTGGAAGCATCCTAAAGATTGAGTGATGAATAATAGCTACATTACGACAACCCTTTTTATTTGGTTGGTTGGTATCACCGTTGGTAAAACAAAGTGATAGATCGACATTTGACACGGTGCGATGCCTTCGCCGCTAGAGATTTGTGATAGAGGTAAAATCTTGTGACAACATAGCCGCCGAGTAAGGAACGCTTGCTTGCTTGCACTCTAACATCGTATTCTCTCCCTCCAGCGGTAAACCTCAATACGGCAGTACTTATTGTTATCAGTCATATCAGTTACGTGATGTAACCATTTCTTCGCTGCGGAACCTGCCGGGCTTGACCCATGGGACGGTTTCACGCGAGCCTGGGTTCGGATCGTGTGGCTACAACCGTGGATACCCCTCCAGGCACGAAGTATGTACGTACAGCGTTGTCTGGGGAGAGAAGGGGGTGGGCAACGCTGCATAGAGCCGAGAAAACCTTCGGCGCCATGAAGTGAACATTCTCCACATCGGTTGACATGCAAGCTGTAGGGAAAGATGAAAAGGGGAAAGCAGAGAAATGACCCTGAGCCAATTCGCAACTGCAGAAGCCACAGCATGATCCATGATCCCTGGTGAGGCGGACCGGATGGAGTTGCATGGCAATGATGTGCGATGATTGGACAGTATTGCCCTCCCGGTGAAGGCAACAAAATTGGGGACACCGCAGCCTATAGGAAAAGAGGTTTGAAGGCGAAGTGGTGTGTCCATCCCTGGACCAAAATGCAACTAAGGTGTAAGTCACAACGAGTCAGCGTCACTGACTGGAGTCGCCTTTAGTGCGGGGTTTTTTCGTTGTTGTTGCCAATTAACCACCTTCATTTTTTCACTGGTCGACCCCGAGTTGGTGGTCAGAGTCAGAATGATCCAGGGTTGATCCATCGAGAATCGACGCTGAGGTCACCAAATTATTTGATTAGTGCGTGTGGGATGGAAATCCACCGTTGATCCATGGAAAATCGAGAAGCATGGGTTCAAATCAAATACGGGTGGGTAGACCAGACGGGTGACAGGGCGACCGTGCTCATCTGCCATCAGTCGAACGGTTTCGGTAAATTCAGTGATCAGAAGAGAAGGTCAGGAATTCCTTTCTGTCCTGCAGACACATGTTCTTCGCGGGAGGCACTAAACCCAGCGTGGCTTTGGAACGACTAGTACGATGGATGGCAGGTGTCGTGACTCTAACACTCCTGGACCAGACAAAGAGTAAGCCCTGCTTTCTCTCGGAGCGAGTGAGAATGCAAGGATGTAAGATGGATCAAACGCGATGACCTAGGTGTAGTACTTCCGAAAAGGGTGATAGGTGAAATCTAGTCAAACAGTATTACACTTGAAGCCTCTCGACCCTCCTATGAGATTACTTTATCCGGAGGTGGACGTACTGAGAGCTTTCCCACTGGGTATTTGTATCGCCATCAGGTCCGCATCTCAGTATTACGACTCTAACCACTCCTCTCCATGAGGTGTTTGATCTTCAGGTCGATCCAATTCCTTGAATTGTTCACTTGTGAAACCGTATTATTCGTCACTTCCTTGGGATAGATTCAGAATCATTAATTGATTTTATAGAACAATTGTCTATTGACCGCTCTTTATAACTCCCGGGCATTGGCCATTCCCATTGTTGTTGAAGTTGACACTTATTCTTGGTCCGTTTTATTATTGCTATTGACCATCATCACGAGTGCGATCCTTCTACACTCGTTGACCCCAATTCCCTCACGTCTCAAACAAAAGCGGGCCTTAAACGTGTCGTGGAAAAGGGAGTCTCCATAATATTACCTTCTGTTGCTCCGCCTACCAATTTATTCCATTCACCGCTACTGCGGAACCCAACTGTGAACATCATACCTGACGCAGGGAGGAGAATATTCTGAAAGAAAGAAGAACAACAAAAAGAAAAGAAAAAAAAAAAAGGAAGAAAGAAAGAAATACCGAGTGAGAAACAAGCCGATTTATTACTGCCTTTTCTCCCTATTGTTGCCCGAAACAGCCCTACAGAGAGAGATATACTGGGCGACATCAGGCCGAGTACGGTACAACAACAGTTGGAATTGACGTTGGGTGGCATCATCGAGCATCACCCCGTGACTTCGATGGAATTTTCTCCATCATTATCGCTCATTATCACTCAGCCCTGACTCAACGTGGTGCCAGTTCATCTCATTGCATTTGAACTATTCCCTTCTTGTTGCTTCTATCTTCCCACGCTGTTCTACTTTTAGAGTATCGTGGCGCAGTGTCCTTGGGCCTGAGCCTTGGGAGGATTTTCTTTAAATTTTTTCGATTTATTTTATTTTATTTTGTTTTATTTATTTTATTTTTTGGTTTCTAATTATCCTGGATTCTTTTCCCCATTTGCCCCTCGGCTTGCCTCTCCCGCAAGGGAAAACCAAAGTCTCTGATACGGTGGAACGAACTCTTGGTACCGTACGTTACCAACCTTGGTGAAAGTTTACCTTGCAACCAAACAACAATCCAATCGCTGTGCCTGGGAATTGCCGGTCCCATTCTTGCCTCCTGGTTCCTGGGCTGACAACGAGTACTTCATTACTTAGTACTTACTTGTTCCGCTCCCTCTCTCCGTTTTCTTCCTGAATCTCCCCCCCTTACTGTGCCTTCTATCATCAAACTGTCACATTGCATGGTCGCTGTCTTACCTATGATCTGCTAATCAACTTCTCTTGGCTTCGCCGGCATTCTCGATGAATTGGTCATAGTCAAATTGCTATTGACGATGAACTGATTATCACAAGCAATCCACATCACTTTCAATTCATTCATTCAGCCCACACACTTCTGTTTTCCCAGGCACCTCCCATTTTATGCCCAGACTGGTGTGCAACGCCACCGACCAGCAACGCTAAACATATATTAACTCACATACGCATTAACTCCGATTTCGATTTCACCCCCGCACATACAACCCCCTCCTCGATTCAACTATCATTTATTCATTGACATACCCTTCCAAAGATATAAGTTTGAATGATCAATTTATGTATTCATTGAGTTGGCCAAACCATGTCGTCCACACCAGAGTTCGATCCATATGCTGTCTTAGGCGTCCAGAAAGATGCCACCCTAGCAGATCTCAAAACAGCCCGTCGAGAACTCGCCTTCAAGCATCATCCAGATAAGGTCGGGAATAACTCGTCGGAGATGTTCCAGAAAGTCCAGAAGGCCTTCGAGATCCTCTCGGATCCCACAGAGAGGCAAAAGTATGACCAGAAAGTTCGCCTCAATGAGCTCCGACGGGAGATGGCGGCGCGTAACGCAACCGCGGGCGGTTCGATGTCCTACGCTCAACGGGGGAGTACGGTCCGTGAGTATCGTGATGGACGCATCTATGAAGAAAGAACGCCGGCCGATGTGTACGACGATGTCCGGTTTACAAAGGAATCGCGGTCGACGCCCCGGAAAAACGATGAGTTTGGAATGCGACAACGGACGAGAGCATCGGAGGAAAAGAAGAAGACTAAGAGCGTTCCTGTCAGCTCTCCCCGCCCATCGAAAGATACGGCGCGTAGCAGCAGCAGTGCCAAAACGACCCACACGGATCGGGCCAAGTACCGTACCAAGGAACGGCGACGGGAAGCTTACGAGAAGATGTATGCTCCCTACGTCGGGTCCGAAGATGATGCCTCCGACTCGAGCGCGTCGTCCGTTTGGGTACGCGTTAAGCGTCCGTCGACCCGGACTCGGGAATCGTCATCTCGGAAGACCAAACCAGCAGAGTCTTCCCGCCGCTCCGAGCGACGGTATGAGGAGGATTACTCTGACGAATGGGATAAACACGAGAAACAATATTCCACGGCCGAAAACTACATTCGCCGCTCCAAAGGGACACTTCCTGTGGAGCGTGAATCTAGACAACGTTCTTCCCGCTCCCCCAATCAACGTCGGGGCTACGAATCGGCCGACCCAGAGTCTTCCTCCTCCCGCCGCGCCGGTAGGTCAAAACGATCCACCGAAAGCGTGCGACCTGATACGTCCCGCCATGGCTCATTTGAGGATTTGGAGTCTTACGATCATCCATCCCGCAGTTATGAAGCCAAGGTCCCGCCCATGCCAACCCCCGCCACTGCTGCAGGGATGAAAGTCCCTTCGTCTGTCCGGCCCTCCCTCCAGCCCTCACGATCTGCGAATGCTTCTTATTCCCGATCAAAACGGGAAGGCAGTAGTCGTTCGGATCCTGTACTTTTAGGCATGGTGTATTCTGACCCACCATCGCGTACCGCGAAGGTAAGAGGCGTGGAGAAGTCGGATTCAGGGTACTCAAGTCCAGGTACTCCGGAAATGGCGGCCGGGGAAAGCCCTCCCAAGATGTCCACACGTTACAAGGTTTTTAACGACAAGCTTGTCAACGAGCCCGAGACCATTCTGGTAGAACCAGGCATGCCGTCACAACCACACCCGTCTCCGAGACACTCCAGAACATACTTACCGCCACAAGAACGTCTGCCACGCGCCCCACCGAAACCAGTTCGGAGTAGTACTTACGCTTACACCCCAGAGCCGTCCAAGCGTTACGAACAGGTCCGGCCAGAGACCTCTAGGCAATCGTCTAGCAGACAATTGTTCGGCGAAGCCGACTACAGTTCCCGCCTTAAGGAGAAGGAGTTTAAATATGCCCGCGAAATCGGGCCGGACAAATATTCTCGCCACCACTACGATAGCTATCACCCCCCACCTGTCGGAAGACGCCAGTCCACCTACACTTGACGAACCCATGATAACGACAGTAACCCATATTCAAGATATTCATTGAAACACACCACTTGGTACATTTATTCTCAATTCTTCATCTTTCTTTCAGTGGCTCAAAGCCTTTTTACTAGCATTTAGGCGGCTCAATCGCAGTTGACATCAGAAATGTTCAATGATATCCAGAGAATAACATACAAGGTGTCTGTCAGCACTCGATGAACGCCGACATATTTCTGTTCTTCGCACATTCTAAGATATCATTATTATGCCTTTACTCCCAGAAACGGGCTAGGCTCTGATCCACTAAACCGCAGACATATATGTTCGTTTATGACCACTTTCCACATTTCTTGTTTTGCTATTACTACAATCTTTTTTTTTTATTGAATCATATCGGCGTACGGATGGGACACTGTGATGAGTATCAATCAACCTTTTTTATTTATCCAGGGAAATATCGGAGTAAATGATGATTGACGATCATGACTGATGAATCAGGTTGGGAGGATTTACATAGTCTGGGAGTTGGCATATAGCATATCAATTGTTTTTATCGCATGACACTGGTTCTCAAATTGATTATTGATAGACTGTATTGTTTCGATTTTTCTTATTATCGTACGTGAAGATTGTAGGTTTGATTCAGATTGCATATATTTGGGTACGCATGAACTAGCCCTACTTGTCTCATACCCCGCAGTTATATATTGTCCCTATTTAAGTGGTATACGCTAAGCTACGAGCATAACATCCCGTCAAGAAATCCACTAACAGGATACTGTTAATTAAAAGTCAATTGATTCTATCCTTATTATAACCGAATGTAAATACATACAATTATCAAATTCTTCACCTGATTTTCATCCACAAACAAACATTTACACGAAAATGGAAGGAAACTGGGCAATAGCAAAGAGAAATGGGTGATAAAGATGACAGAAAATCAATTGGGTATGAGTGCATGACAGCTTTCCATCATTCTCGCTCATTCTCGCTCATACGTATAATGGCCCCTAGGCTTATCTCTAAAGAAGTTTCCTTTATCTCCACGCGGTTGGAGAGCACTTTCATTCAAAAAGGTAAATAACCATCTAGGTAACGGGGTGAGATGGAAAAAGGGATGTGATATGATTAAAGTAGGGCGTTGGTTTGTCAATTGATGCCTTTGACGGCGCAAGGTATGGGGGAGTCATCCTTTCTATGAAGATCGATCGGCTTACGGCTCGGTCCAGTCGACCTGATCCGTCACGGGATCTGATCCGTCCTTGGAGTATGTAATACGCAGACGGAGGCGGAGTTTGGGTGGGAGAGCCTTGGGTACAGTTAGTATATCGAGAGGTGGGACGGGACTGGATGAACACTTACTCCATTTAGAGAGGCGACCTTCAGTAGTTGAATACCTTCCTCCCCAGCCTCAAGATCGGGCTTGTTGATTGCGCTGAGTTGAAGGCGTTGGCTCTTGGGTACCGCAGCCTGTAGTCCAACACCGGAGAAGCTAGTGAAGTTTGAGGAGTTTCGGAAACGAGCCTGGATCTGTGCATTGCCGCCGCTGCCCCGCTGGACTTGCAAAGTCAGAGAGAGGTCGTTCTTATCGAATGCTGCATGGGCAAGGACAGCGGGTGCTGAGGGGGGAGGGGTGGAAGCCGCAGGTGCGGCGGATCCAAGGCCTCCAAGGAGGTCCATAGACGAAGATGCCGGCTCTGCTGGACGGGGTGACGGGGTGTTTCCATTGGAACCGAACAGATCCATGATGGCAGCTGTGTTGGATTGCGCCGGCTTCTGTGCCGGCTGGGGCGCAGGGGACGAGAGCCCTGAGTCCCCGCCGAGAATATCTGCCAGCAGGTCGGCCGTGTTCTGAGATCCGTTGCTAGTTGGGCTGGTAGCTGGAGCATCACCACCCATGAGGTCGAGGAGCATATCCTGCTCGGCCGGTTTGACAGCCTTCTTAGTTTTGTCCTTGAGGATTTTGCTCTGACGTTTCTTTGCCGGAGCACCCAGGACTCTCTGTTCTTCACGTATCTCGGGAGGTGGCATACGTTCAAGAACCCCTCGACGAATCTGGTCGTAGCCGAAAAGATTGGTGTACTCCACAGCTCGTTGCTGGATTTCCACACTCAAGTCGGCGGTCCGGCTATTCAGGAAGCGGCGGAGGCGTTCGACTTGAGCTGGTTCCGACATGCGCACGGTAAGCTTCATCGAAGCAGTGGTAATGTATTCGACCACCGTTTGTGTTGCATATGTGCTATTGAGAATATTGTTGAATAGATCAACGAGGTCACTTTCCTTGACCTCCCTGACTAGCTCCTCTTCCTCGTACTGACCACCTTCAAGAAGGTTGTCGCCGTACTCTCCAATGACCCAAGTTGCAGCAAGAGTCAGACCCTCCTGCGAGATATCTTCTTTCAACGACATGTAGAGCTTTTGCACGGAGTAGGTTTGCAATTCTGGGGTAGTCGCAATGAGCCGCACAAACGAGGATAAAATCTGCTCTTTGACATAGGCACCAGCCAATTTGAGGACTCGGAGAATTGTGTCGACATGCCAGCGTTTGTTCGGGGCAAAGCGATCGGCAGCAATTCCGATCTGAGTAGTCATTGCAGGCTTGAACTCGTTATCCGCGACTTCCATGAAAGCAAGAAGCTCCCTGATGATGACACGGACGTTGCTTTCATTGATCAACATGAAGCTCAGGTCAAGGGCTCGCCTTCTGATACTGATATCGGGATCACGGAGACACTCCAGGATGGTGTTGCGATGCCTCTGCACAGCGTTGGGCTCGATCGCGACAACCTTGTTCAGTGTATTCAGGGCAACGTAACGAATATTGTTGTCCTTATTGGTGAGGAATTTTCCGAGGATGTTGACACCCAGGACTCTTAGGCCCGAATCAGCCTCAATGTCAAGGATGGTGAGGACGGCCTCATAGAGGATAGCGTTGCCGACGTTCTTTGTCGAATCAGTATTGGTAGCCACCTGGGCTAGAATGTCGTTAATCAGTTCGCTTGTTGCCGCGTCTCCTCTTCCTAGTACTCGAAGGAGACGTAAGATTTTGACCTGAAGGAAGGGATCTGTGATTCCAGAAACGTCATGTTCCGGAGCGTATCCGGAGGTCGTCAATCCCTTTAGAGCACGTACGAGGCCACCAGCCAGAGGTCGGAACATCTCGATCACGCCTTCCTGTCCTTCCTCAGCCTCCTCCGCTTCGCACATGTCTATTACCAAGGTCAAGCCGCATAGCAAAACGCCATGGTTCCTGTCCGACAAGAGAGTCTTGGCCTTCTCTAAGAAATGTTCCTGCAGGTCTGGCACTTTGCGACATATCCGCATAGCACACAGAGCCGCCTTTCTCCTGATATATGGATTTGCGGTAGAAAGAAGAGACTCGACTTCCGGGAAGAGATCTCTGGACATCTCGACGGAGGCGATATTTCCCAGGGCGCAAAGGGCAAGTCCGACAATATATTGATTAGAATGGTTAAGATCACTGCGTTATATTAGCTGGAAAGATTTACGAAGCGCATTATCCATTAAGATTAGCACTTACTTCTTTAGAGAGTTTGTCACCAGTGTCAACACTTCTTGATTCTCATCTAGCAACAGCATAGTTCCCAGATATCCCAATCGCTTGTCTGCGAATCGGTGGGACGCCAGCAGTTTCAGACATTCTATCTGACCGAAGTGCGTCCGCTCACCGAGGGTGAAAAGATAAAGTAATTTGGCAACATTGTTTCTCCTGTCACTGGGTATGAGATGTCGGTTCAGGTGATGAATGCGTAGATGGCTGACCGTATGCCCGAATCATGGCTCTCTTCCCTGAACGACGCACGAATGGCCGCGCTCTCTTTTTGAATCACAGCCCGTTCATCGGCGATTGTCTTGGCAGATCGTACATTTCGAATGAATTGCTTGACTATTAATTTTGCGCGGCGGAGAAAGAATGGTTAGCAACTAAGTTGCCAGGTAAGGGGATGCCAGTGTGGGGGGTTTCCATTAGCAATGGACACGACTTACGGGATGTCATGGCGGCCACAGGGACCCCCAACGGGGTATCAAGAAGAGAGATGAACTAAAAGGGGACAAAAGAAGGAACGGGGGAGAAGAGAGCAATGCGAAGAAACCAGTCCACGCAATTCCAGGGCCAGATGAAAAGCGTCTAAACAATAATAGTAGCAGTAACGGCGTCGGTAGGTTGAGCCTCGCCCGTCCTTTGCGACTTGTCCGTCTTGGCGCTTCCCCCCTTTGAGTCTAGGGCCCCTCGTGTCGGTGGGCGCCTCCACGTGATCCGATGCCTAGATATCTATGACGGCCTGAAATTGCAGGCCAGCAACGATGTACTCCGTATCGTATTCGTATCGTTATCCCGTCCGCACCGCCCTATAAGGTACATACGTACTTCGGCGATACCGCGGTTCCGAGGTCCGGGATCAGATGGACCGCATGACGTGAGGGTTTTCCAGGTACTCCGTACAGAGATACGTAACTTTTCTTACTCAGAGGCTCTACGGCCCCCCATGATCTCCGTTCGATTTGTTTTGTTCTCTGCATAAGTCGTTGCAAATGTTGGATGCCAATGGTATAGGGGACATTGGTTACGGTCCGATGCCCGGCTGATCTGCGACTCCGACCATCTCCTCCCTTTTAAAAATTGGTCCCTGCGCAAATCAGTCTGCCTTGTCGACAACGATTACTGACGAAGGATCCACCTTCTCCTGGATGTACAAGTGTCCTTCGAGACAATCCTTTCCATCTGTTCACCGAAACCTTGAGAGATTTTATATTTAGTTAGACTGGCCCTTCTGCTTTAGAGCGCTTCTGCTAGTTCCACGGAATCAATGTGAAAAAAGTGTATATGACATCTAGCACTCCTGACTCCGCGAGGATGTCTTCTGCAGTATCACAGAGCAATGGCTCCCCGCTATTGCGGCCACGGGCCATCTTGAAGAAACTTGACGATCCTACCAATCTCTCCTTGGAGAAAGGTTCTCTTGATTCGAGGTAAGTAAGACCGTTGAGCCGACTGTTATTTCCCTCGAGTCTAACAGCTGCATAACAGTGGACGTTCTACCCCTGTCGCCGAAGATGCCCCTCCATCTATCCAGTCCATATCGCACGCCAGAAAGCAAGCTAGGGCCCGGAATCGACTGTTCTATACCATTGATTATATTCCGCGTGTATCTCACTTCGACCCGAAGAGCGACTATCATAACTTCCGCGGCTTCTTCACGCTGTTTTGGATCGGGTTGTTTATCATGGTGGCCACTACCGCGCTTCGGAATGTAAAGGACACCGGC